AGGCGGCGACCCGCCGCGCCGGGCCGAGCCGGTCGGCGCACCACGTCATGGGCACGTGACAGGCCGGCCGGGCCGCGCTGCGTAGCACGCCCCAGTCACGTGCACCGCCGGCTGCGCGGAAGTGGGCCAGGGAGCCCGCCGAGCGTTCTGTTGTGGCGCGGAGAGCGGCGCGTCCTCCGTCGAGCGCGGCACGCGACGCGACGCCAGCTGAGCGCCCGAGCCGCGCGCGCCGCGAGCCGTGACCCGTCCTCAGCCACAAACACCGCACCCCACCAACACCGCAGTCACGGCTGGCTACACTGAGCCTGCGGCGTAATACACGGGGACAGGTGAGCGGCGACTCGGCTGGTTCGCGGTGCGTCGCGCGGCGGTCGGGGCCCCGGCGGAGAGTTGCGCAGTCGCGGCGCGGTGAAGGTGGACAGCCCGCCGCTCCCCAACTTGGCGCTCCTACTCGACAGACCCGGCGACACTGAGGCTCCGGCCCGAGCCCCGAGCTCGGCCGCCTCTCCAGAGCTCACGGCCGCGGCCAGAGCGGCTCGCTGCGTACCCGGGCTCAGCGGCTCAGAGACTCACTGCACGTCCCGCAGCGGCTCACCGGCTCAGAGGCTAACTGCGTCCCAGCGCGGCTCACCCGAGCAGAACAGGCGGCGGTTTGTTCAGTGAGCTTTGGTCGAGATTTACTTCTAAAAATCGTCGCCAGCTGCCACAGCAGAACTGGCAGCTCGATTGACAGATGCCACTTCACGGGTCTTGCTGAACAGAAGACTGGCCCACGTTGACTGCCAGCAGATCGGTGACTAACTAGCCGGGTTGGTTTTCGAACAGTGGCTACTTTTTACATCCAAGGTATCACCCGTTTTAGAAAACGCTGACTCATGGCTGACGCTGTGAGTAAAAAATGTTTGCCTGATCAGCAGGAACTAATCTCTATGTTCTGACACGCTTGCCGTGAGCTTGTACAGAACACAAACAAAGTCGGGCGGCACGTGTTGGCACAAAAAGTCCCGACTACCGTGATGCTAGGTTTTCCATGGTGAATCCGACTGTGTTTATTTTCTGTGATTTTCACTGGATCGGGTCTGGTCACACCTGTGAGATATCAGTGGCGCCCGCACAGCAGCCGGTGCGCCGGGAAGGGCTCCATCAGACGGCTCCTCCGGCGTGTCTGCAGCACAAACATGGCAGACGGGAGGCCCGTATAGACGACGGCTGACCCCATTCCGCAGAAACACCCCCGCCCCCATCCCCCCACCCCGTCAGGAGCCGTTCATGACCTCGAGGCCAGTTTTAGACGCCGGGCGCGTTCTGCGCAGCACATTTTCCTCACAGTTGTATGGTATGACGCACACGGTGGAGGCGTCCCTCCGTTCGGCAGCTCGCGGCGCCATCCCGGATGGGTGGCTCTGAATGAGAGTGCCGACCAGTCCACCGACCTGTGACATGTGACCTGTGACCCGTGCACTGTGCAGTCCTCTGTCCCGCCGTGGCGCTTCCCTCAGTCCCGCCGCTGCGTTATATAACCTCCAGTCGGCAGACCCCACCAGTCCGCCGCCCTCCCGCCGCGCTGTGAAGTCCTCTTCAGTCCGCCGACCGCCGCCGTCCTCCCGCCGCGCTGTGAAGTCCTCTTCAGTCCGCCGACCGCCGCCGTCCTCCCGCCGCGCTGTGAAGTCCTCTCCAGTCCGCCGCCCTCCCGCCGCGCTGTGAAGTCCTCTCCAGTCCGCCGACCGCCGCCGTCCTCCCGCCGCGCTGTGAAGTCCTCTCCAGTCCGCCGACCGCCGCCGTCCTCCCGCCGCGCTGTGAAGTCCTCTCCAGTCCGCCGCCCTCCCGCCGCGCTGTGAAGTCCTCTCCAGTCCGCCGACCGCCGCCGTCCTCCCGCCGCGCTGTGAAGTCCTCTCCAGTCCGCCGACCGCCGCCGTCCTCCCGCCGCGCTGTGAAGTCCTCTCCAGTCCGCCGCCCTCCCGCCGCGCTGTGAAGTCCTCTCCAGTCCGCCGACCGCCGCCGTCCTCCCGCAGCGCTGTGAAGTCCTCTCCAGTCCGCCGACCGCCGCCGTCCTCCCGCAGCGCTGTGAAGTCCTCTCCAGTCCGCCGACCGCCGCCGTCCTCCCGCCGCGCTGTGAAGTCCTCTCCAGTTCGCCGCCCTCCCGCCGCGCTGTGAAGTCCTCTCCAGTTCGCCGCCCGCCGCCGTCCTCTCACCGCGCTGTGAAGTCCTCTCCAGTCCGCCGACCGCCGCCGCCCTCCCGCCGCGCTGTGAAGTCCTCTCCAGTCCGCCGCCCTCCCGCCGCGCTGTGAAGTCCTCTCCAGTCCGCCGCCCGCCGCCGCCCGGACGCCGCGGGGTCACGGCCAGTGCGGTGGGTCCGTGGCGTCCCGTAACCAGCCATAATGCAGGCGGCCTTCAGCGGCAGACGGAGGCATCTCAGACAGCCGGGCGCGGCGGCCGGAGTCGCCATCACCGGACTGAGCTCGGGTGACGCCCTCCTATACACCACAGCCAGGGCACGCCGCGGCTCCGGCTGCAGGGTAGCGATTAGGGCCGTGATGTCTCACGATCAGGGAACAGGCCGTGCCGTGACGGCAAGAGGACCAGCCGTGACAGCGTGGGCGACCGTCAGGGCAGTCCGTGGTTACCGTGGGCGACCGTCAGGGCAGTCCGTGGTTACTGACCGTCAGAGCGGTCCATGGTTACCGTGGGTGACCGTCAGGGCAGTCCGTGGTTACTGACCGTCAGGGCAGTCCGTGGTTACTGACCGTCAGAGCGGTCCATGGTTACCGTGGGCGGTCGGCGCTGGCCCGGGCCGCCCGGTCGGCCGGCGCCCGCTGTTACTGCGCAGCCGGCCGCCACCACCGGTCGGTTCCCCGAACCGCCCGGCGTCGGCTCCCGACCGAGACGGCGCACCGCCCGGCCGCCGAGCAAAGCCGGCCACTCTCGCTTTTGACGGAGACTGCCGACTGCAGGCGGCCGCGCCTATGATGCACCTGTCTGGACTAGCAACAATCGATCATAGATCGGAGACGAAAAGCGTACCGAGCAACCGGCTGTCAATGCCGCGGGGAGATCGATAGACGTGAATAGTTAGTGCATACAAAGTCAAGCGTAAGAAATAGCGATACCAATATCAAGTCTGAAAATAATTCATTGTAACAAGCGAAACTGCTGAAGCTCCGAGACGGAAAAAGTTAGTGCCTGTTGGGTCAGAACAGGACTGACGCACGACCCCGGCCACTGCCACTCAAACGACATCAAAGAAGCGTCGGGGCCCCGACAGCCATGTCGAACTCCGTCGGCTCCGAGCACGGCAAAACAGAGCTGCCCTGAGCCCGTCAGCTCAGGATGCGACAAAAAGAGTCAGTTACGCCAGCGGCCGCGGTTCGAACCGACACCGGTGCCGGGGCGGTGTCCGGCGACCACCTGCGCCGCTGAAATCAGTCGCTCCTCGGCCGGGCTCGGCGCCGGGGTAGAGGGACTGTGCAGCCAGCACGGCACTGCATAACAAACAGAACCGCATGCGAGTGGCAAAAACCTGCACAACATTGGATCGGAGGTGTGCACAGGTAAACTGACACTGTGTCAGGGTTCAAAACATGATTGCGTAGGCAATGCGACGTTTGATGGTTAAATAAAGGGGTAACGAAAGTGAGGGTTGAATGTTGACGCTACGGTCTTGCAGCTGAGTAATTCAGTAAATAAATAGCCCTTCCCAGTCCGTTGCCGCTGGTGTTTGGAGCCGGTGCTTTGTCCAAACAGACCGGCGCGAACCGCACCGTCCGTCCGCCCGTCGGAAGGTATCGTGACTCAGCTGGGGAACAATAACAAAGAGCGCCGGCCGCCCGGTGTGAGCGTCTATCAGCAGGTCCGGTCCCAGCGCCGCCGAGCACGACACAGGTCCGGTCCCAGCGTGCTTCGAGCGTGCTCCGAGCACGTCGCAGCGCGCCACCGCCAGAGGGCACGGGAGGCGCACGGCTCGTAAGGACACGGGAAGCGCACGGCTCGTAAGGACACGGGAGGCGCACAGCGTCCTAACAGCGTCGTAACTCCCAGCAGACACAGAGGAGAGCACAGCGTCCCGACGGAAACAGGGAGCGAACAACATCCTAACGGACACGGGGAGCACACGGGGACGATCCAGAGGGCTGTTCACGGACCCTGTGTGCGGTCGGACCGCACACAGCCTCCAAGCTCCGCCCACTGCGTCCCTACGTCAGCCTTGCGTCACCGCACACAGCGACCGCTGTGGCCGGTCGGGACTGGCCACAGCGGACCGTCCACCGCACGCAGCCGTGACGTCAGAGCCGCCTACCCATCCCCTACCCCCACGCCTGCTGGACGTACCGCACACACCGCACGCAGCAGTGTGCGGTGCCCGTGAACACCCCTCAGCTCACCTCGTAAGGGATACCTATAGCCGCACACTGGAGACTAGACGCCGAGCGAAACGTGCATTGCCCAAACAAAGACTGAGGGACTCGTTTCCTGCCTCACACCTGCTGTGGCTGAGATTCTACGCGTCACATCCGCACGGTTCACACATACACTGTCAGCTGCCTATACTGCGTAGTCTATCCCCGAACGTTAATTGTTACGTAACCTTGTGTTTACGCACACACCTGCGGAAAACTACCAGGAGCCGGTGGGTGGGTGGTTGTGCCGCCGGCGGGTTCGGTCGGCCCTCACTGACGGGCAGCGGCCGCTCCCAGCCAGGTTAGCACGCAGTAGACCGCCGCCCAGCCGCCGCCGTCGACAACATCCTGAACGGGCGGCCTTGGCGCCGCCGGCCCATGGATGAACGTATATGACAATGACGGCCTTGGGCGGCGGCGGCGAGCCTCATGCGGAGCTGTGGCGGCTGCGTGGTCCCGGCTCCCCAGGAGAGAGGAGACCGTCCCCGGCTCCGCCAGCGGAAGGGGTGGAGGGGTATAGTTAGGGGTGATCGGTCATCGACACAAACACCTCCGTGAGATTCCCACGGCGCCGGCCCGGTATCCGGCGGGGGTCGCGGTGTTTACCTGAGGGTGGGCGCGGCGGTCGGCGGCTGCTGTGCCGCTCTCTCTGTCTCGATGCTCCTCACGCAGGCAGCTGCCGGGCCGGCCGCGGCGGGCAGTCCGATTCACGTCTGGCGGCGGACCACTCCCCCACCGTGCTCACGGCCGCTCAGCTGAGGGCCGACTGACGACCGACGGCCGCCGCCGCGCGCCGAGCGCCGCCGCCCCCGCACCCCGCCCGCCGCGTGCTCCGCCCCGCGCCCCGGGCACCGCCGCCGGCCACTGTGGACTTTAAATAAGGGTGCGGGGACGCTGCCCTGTTGTGAACCGAACAGAGGGCAGGGAGGGAGGGAATGTCGGCGGCAGGGGTGAAAGGGCTGCGGGCGGCAGGCGACAGCGGACCCGCTCATCGACCGATCGGTAAACAGCGTCAGACCGGCCGGCAGACTGGGCCAGCTGCTCTCCGTCCGCCGACCGGCCGGGAAACAAACACGGACCGGTAGGACGACACGGGACCGGAGATGCAGTGGACTGGACGGGACTGGGTGAGGCCGCATTAGGATGGAATAGGTGACGGATGACGTGAGGAGCATCTGACGGGCGATCGGGCGGACAAAAACGCAGCAGGGAGGGGGACGGCACGGGCCAGCCGACGCTGCGGAGGACCCCCGGGGGCCCCGAGAGCACGCTCCTCCCGCGTGTCCCACCGGCGCGGCTGACGTGACCTGGCTACAGGCGCCGCCCGGAGAGTGGAACGGCCTGCAACAGGTGGCTTTGGCGTTATTGGCGTTTTTACGGCAGCACTGCACCGTTCACGAGAGGCGGTTACCGGTAAGCTGCGAGGGTAAGTACTTACCTGCTTCAGGGTTTATTGATGGTTGGTTCACTCACACATTATGCAGTTAACACAATGTTGACAACTGTCGAAATTTGAGGCTCGGGATAATCATGTAAGTACGTCTAACTATTGTGACATCATGGAGCGGCACAAGGAGCTCTCAGGAGCTCTCAGCATCCCCAGCGGCCGGTCCCAGTTATCTGTGACCGTCTCTCAGGCCTGTCAGCCAAGGACCGGTCAGCCGGGGACGATCACTGGCGCTCCCGCTGCTGGCGGCCGACCGCGGCGTGATCAGCTCGTGATCGGAGCGGCCGACGGCACCGGCCGGGGGCGCCGGGTCGGGGGCGCCCTCTGCCGCCAAACACAGCCAGGACCGACGGAGGGTGCCCGACTTCTCCGAACTCTAACATCTCGAAAAAATAGCCTTAACGACTGGTTGACCTGAAGCCACCTCGGAGCCCAAATTTCTGGCCAATCATTTCACTGCGGTCCTGCACTTTTTGTAGTTACCCGTGTTTGCAGTGTCACTGCCGACTGCACTGCGGGACGGACGGCGGCGGTTTATCGCCACGTCAATAAGAGCGCAGAGCCGCCGCGTCGGCAACGCCCGGTGACCGATTGTTTGCCTACGTAGTGCAAAAAAGTCTGAGCCAATGTCCGTCTGAAAACGCACCGTGCAACAATAACACTGCATTGCTGACATTGGGTAACACTGGCTGACATTGCTGACATTGGGTAACACTGGCTGACATTGCTGACATTGGGTAACACTGGCTGACATTGCTGACGGCGGGTAACACTGGCTGACATTGCTGACATTGGGTAACACTGGCTGACATTGCTGAAATTGGGTAACACCGGCTGACATTGCTGACATTGGGTAACACCGGCTGACATTGCTGACGGCGGGTAACACCGGCTGACATTGCTGACGGCGGGTAACACTGGCTGACATTGCTGACATTGGGTAACACTGGCTGACATTGCTGACATTGGGTAACACCGGCTGACATTGCTGACGGCGGGTAACACCGGCTGACATTGCTGACGGCGGGTAACACTGGCTGACATTGCTGACGGCGGGTAACACTGGCTGACATTGCTGACGGCGGGTAACACTGGCTGACATTGCTGACATTGGGTAACACTGGCTGACATTGCTGACATTGGGTAACACCGGCTGACATTGCTGACATTGGGTAACACTGGCTGACATTGCTGACATTGGGTAACACCGGCTGACATTGCTGACGGCGGGTAACACTGGCTGACATTGCTGACGGCGGGTAACACTGGCTGACATTGCTGACGGCGGGTAACACTGGCTGACATTGCTGACGGCGGGTAACACTGGCTGACATTGCTGACATTGGGTAACACTGGCTGACATTGGGTAACACTGGCTGACATTGCTGACGGCGGGTAACACCGGCTGACATTGCTGACGGCGGGTAACACTGGCTGACATTGCTGACGGCGGGTAACACTGGCTGACATTGCTGACGGCGGGTAACACTGGCTGACATTGCTGACATTGGGTAACACTGGCTGACATTGCTGACGGCGGGTAACACCGGCTGACATTGCTGACGGCGGGTAACACTGGCTGACATTGCTGACATTGGGTAACACCGGCTGACATTGCTGACATTGGGTAACACCGGCTGACATTGCTGACGGCGGGTAACACTGGCTGACATTGCTGACATTGGGTAACACTGGCTGACATTGCTGACGGCGGGTAACACTGGCTGACATTGCTGACGGCGGGTAACACTGGCTGACATTGCTGACGGCGGGTAACACTGGCTGACATTGCTGACGGCGGGTAACACTGGCGGACATTGCTGACGGCGGGTAACACTGGCTGACATTGCTGACGGCGGGTAACACTGGCTGACATTGCTGACGGCGGGTAACACTGGCTGACATTGCTGACGGCGGGTAACACTGGCGGACATTGCTGACGGCGGGTAACACCGGCTGACATTGCTGACGGCGGGTAACACTGGCTGACATTGCTGACATTGGGTAACACCGGCTGACATTGCTGACATTGGGTAACACTGGCTGACATTGCTGACGGCGGGTAACACTGGCTGACATTGCTGACGGCGGGTAACACCGGCTGACATTGCTGACGGCGGGTAACACCGGCTGACATTGCTGACGGCGGGTAACACTGGCGGACGGCTGAGGACGGGTAACACTGGCGGAATCGTTGAAGGCGGCGGAGGTCGGCGCAGGCCGCAGAACGGCTCTGATCAAATAAGCACTGCCGCCTTTGTCTCCGAATATAAGTATGCGAATCCTCTGCTAGCCTCCAGCACTGAAGCAGGTCTCCAAACATCTGATGATGGGTGCTCAGAGCGGTAAACCGGATACCCGTTCCCAGGGCCCTGGCCCCTGTTACCCTCCACAAGCCGTTTACCCTACAAGCCCTATGTCAGAAGCCCCGGTCCACTGATCTGAAGGCGCGGTGGTGCCCGCGGAGGGAGCTGCCTTCGGTCCAGGGTCGGCCACGGTGCGGGTTTACATGACCCGGTGATGACTGCACGAGCTCTGTAGTCTGCGCCGAGCGGACTCGCTCCGTCCCTGGAGACGACCGCCGCTTCCTTACGACGGCCACGCACGCTCCGCTGCCGACTCCGTATATATCGAGTACCGAGAGGCATATAATGCCGTCAGTGTACCGAGCTATCATCTCCTAGCGCAGCGGACGTGTACCGCGCTGTGAACTGCCCACGCAGCGTGCACAGCACCGGCCCCACAACTCCCAACTCCCTGTTGACAGCTCTGCAGCCGCCGGGGGCACAACTACGACTGGGGGCTCGACGTGCTATCCGCCGTGACGCAATCCGTCATTACACGGCGCCTGTAAATGCGCCATTGGCTAAACAATCGCTGCGAGGGGATAATGGCCGTCAATTGCAGGCACGATTGAGCTAATGACACGGATCTCTGACAGCCCTGACAGCCCTCTGAGAGCTCTGAGAGCCCGCTGTCTGAGCTGTGTTGCTCCTCCAGCCCAGCTGTCTGACCTGTGCTGCTCCTCCAACCCCGCTGTCTGAGCTGTGCTGCTCCTCCCACCCCGCTGTCTGCGCTGTGCTGCTCCTCCAACCCCGCTGTCTGAGCTGTGCTGCTCCTCCAACCCCACTGTCTAAGCTGTGCCGCTCCTCCAAACCCGCTGTCTGCGCTGAACCGTTCCTGCACTGCAGTCCCGCTGTCTGCGCTGAACCGTTCCTGCACTGCAGTCCCGCTGTCTGCGCTGAACCGTTCCTGCACTGCAGTCCCGCTGTCTGCGCTGAACCGTTCCCGCAGTCCCGCTGTCTGCGCTGAACCGTTCCTGAAGACCCGCTGTCTGCGCTGAACCGTTCCTGAAGACCCGCTGTCTGAGTCGTGCTGCGCCAGCAGTCCCGCTGTCTGAGTCGTGCCGCTCCTCCATGTGCCGGAGCAGCTCACAGCGATGATGGCCGGGAATGGCGGTCATTTCATCCCGCAGTCGGCCGAGGGAGGGCTGGCCAACCAAAACACGCCTCCCGGGACGGAATTATGCACGGCGCGCCTGTTTATGCAGATGTGGGCGGCGGACGCTCCGTCATCTCCAGGGTCCACATGGCACCGCACTCCCTCGACTCTGCCTCAGACTTTTCCTCAGACTCAGACTCGGTCTCAAACTCAGACTCTGCCTCTTTAGACTCTTCCTTAGATTTTGACTCAGACTCAGACTCTTCCCCAGACTCAGACTCTGCTTCTGCCTCAGACTCTGCCTCAGACTCAGACTCAGATACAGACAGACAGACCTCAGACTCTGCTCAGTGTTCCAAAAGACAGCACGGGTTCACCCGAAGGCGCGTAACCGCCGACTAAAACAGTCGCCGCGATATGAGACTCGGCCGTCATTAGCTCCAGACACGCCAGGCCGCCTCCGGCTCAGCCTCCACACTCCAGTGTCTGTCGTCCCCGCGCCCTGCCGTGTGGTGTCCCGGAGCCACCCACTTGGGAGAAGCACCATCAGCCGATTTCTGGAGCGTGCAGGTGCAGCCTATTTTTATATGTAGCGGTACCAGCGAAGCCTGCGAACGCAGTAACGCTGACAGGTATTATAGCGTAGGGGCTTCTGATGCCTGGCAAAGGCTTATGGGCGATATGTGTCGGTACTGAGGCTTTCACGAATCCCAGACATTAAATCATCATCCCTGATTGCATTTCAAGGTTAACCGGAGTGCCAGCGAGCTTCCGTGTCATGCTATGCTGATTGACGACCAGTTGAGATGGTAACACACTCCAGTTTGTCATAATTAGAGGCGTCGCTGTATTTAGAGCACCACTCCGTGGTCT